ACAACTGGTGAACGTGGTTTTGTAGAGAGGTTGCCAGGGGAAACTTAAAGTGATCGTGACCGTGGAAGCGTGTTAGTTGTTCAACGTTCGACGACCCATATTTCCTTTATAGATGTTTTTACGACCGGTGTGAATTTGACATATTCTGCTCCCTTTCAGCAACAACATATGTGTTTCTCATAAAACAAGGAAATTCCTAAGACCATCTGGCGAGTCTTTCTAAATTTGACTAGCATCAAGGTATAAATTACCTATACCAATGAGTCTATTACTCGATATCTTAGACAATCTAAAGAGGGATGTTGTCGGACAATAGGCATTAAATCTCACTAAATTAAGACGTGTATTGCCAATACGAGTTTTAATGTGAATAAAAATGTCCATTAATTTATAACATACTCAATATTTTATGTCAAAGACAGATCGAAGAATTGACATACCATGCTTGTTGACCAAGAATAGAGAAGACACTTGATATAGTTCACGGCGTGGTTAGAATGAAGTTATTTACAAATTCGGTCTTTATTACGGAAACGTCATCGTCAACGAAACCCGATTGGCAAACTCATACTCGTAAGTATGACGCAATGTGTTTTGCCGTAGTAAGCCCGCATTCGACGGAAACGCCATTCATTATTATATTATGAACGTAGCTCCGAGTGATACCGATTTGCCTTGGGTATATACCTTGAGAAATTATGATAACACTTTTAAAAATAGATTGCAGAACAATTTGTACTTAGATTAGAATCCACTACTACAAATCAAGTGTAATCTTTTAAAAATTTGAAGGTAAAAATTTGAATTTTCGCAAACCCATAAATAAATTAACAGTTTCCAAAGTTGTGAAGGACAATTTTAAAACATGATGAATTCAAAGTTACATTTTTTTTTGGCGGAGAAAGGGTTAAGGTCATTTGCGTACTGGTTTTTTAATTTCTTTTGTTTATATAAAGTCTGACGAAATTGTGCACGAGGGAAATTAGAAAATATGCAAAAATGATTATTATTTCATTCACTATGGTTGCTCCCAATAATTAAAAAAATAAATACTTGTATTAGTATTTTCAGTAGAATGTTTATCAGTTGCCTATTCGTTTTTTCCATTTTTTTTTTATGCAGACCTAAAACACTGAAATGAAAAGATGATATGTGTCCTGGCTTGGTGTAATTATTTGGAATTGGAATTTATTTTGCAAAAAAAAAAAAATACGCCTGAACTCCTTCAGATCTTATTGAATATAAGCGAGGTTGGAGACCTGTTCTCAATGAAATACTTAGATATTTATGATAAAAAATGCTCTAAATATGATGTTCAAAATTATCATTTTTTAAAAAGATTGAATTCGGAAATATATCTATTCAGGATTCATAAAAAAAATCTACATGTTGATGTTTTACAATTCACACAGTATACTGTGATTTAATATGTGAAAACAAATCGATGATCGCCAAGGAGTCCACCTATATTACAAGACCTAGGGAAACTACATACATAATTTATGAAACTGATGGCGAAAAACCCAAAGACATGGTCAAAATTCAAATCTTTCCAGGAGATTAGAAGAATGATCCTTTGCCCCTAATCTTTTAGACAAGGTTTCTTGCGTTCCAGCCAGGGATAGTCAAAACAGCATAATAAACTATTCAAGATATAGTGATAGAAATCTGAATAAATTAAATTCAATAATGTTCACGAAAACCTAAACATAAGCATTCTGTATCCTATGAAGAAGATCCTGCTTGAGAATTATAAGAATAAAGATATGGCATTTGTAATCAGGGATGAAAAAAACAAATATTTTATTAGTTCAAACAAGCTCAAAAAAATCATGGGTATTATATTTCAAATTGGGCCATGTTTGGTTTTTTTTCAGTTAAATAAAGCCTTGAAGCCCAGAATTGAAAAATTCTAAATCAGTACTAAAATAAAGAATTCACAATTGAATGATAGTCCTGTAACTTTGAAAGCATTCGAATATTCAAATAATTTTGGGCATCGCTTTTTGCATTATTAATTAATTAATCAACTTTTGTCTGATGTACTTGAAAGCAAAATAATTTGAGATATATTTTATCATAATAATAACAAGAGTGGTTTGTTAGTTTAAAAGCTCTCAGTTTTTCTTTGAGCGTCTAGTATTTCTCTGGTCAGTAACCAATTAATCTTTATATTGAGCCGACCTTTACATATATCATGAAATCGATTATTTTAGCTCAATTTCTAAATTGAGAAGATTACCGCCAGTCCGCGCACTAAATTTTGTGGCTAATGGTGTTTGCTGGTGCTATGAGTTCAGTCATAAAATAAACATTATAGATTGAGTCATTGTACATACAATTACAATATCATGATTTGTCAAGGTAATTCTCGTCTAAAAATAAATAAAGGTTCCTTAAACTTCAATTCAAACTATTTTCCAATGCACTATTATCATTTGAGTTGGTCCAAAAGCCACAAAAACACAATGTTCAACTTGTCTTATGTAGAAGAAATTTGCTCAATTTTTAAACCAGTCAATATGGAGTGAATATGCCACCTTGAATAATTGTATTCATAAAAAAAATATAGGTCAGCTAATAATATATACATAATACATGAAAGAAGCTTGAAGCTCAAAAAATCATTGCAAATCAATACCTATAATTTATGCATTTTAAATTACAGGAAATATATTCAAAATTAAATGAAAAACAAATAATGATCATCTGCAAACAAAATTCTGCATATTATAATCTGATCAATCTGTAAGCTGTCAGGTCATTAGTATATATTCAAGATGTTGAAAATGAAACAAACAATTTCAGAATTATAGCCCTAGTATACATAGTAGGCCTATTCCGTGTTGAAGTATAAGTATTCTGTATACATTTGCTTCTGTGATCTTGAATTCTTGTGAACAAAAATGTCATATTACATGGGCAAAGCCAAAGTATGGTACCATTATGCCCTATGATGCTAAATTTAAAATTGTATGTATTGAGCAAATTATATCAATAATTACCATTTCTTGGCAACTATATGCCCAAATACAATATATTTGTTCTTACGACTATTTCAGACAGTTAAATTTTGGGATCGAATCAGAAGATAATAAATATGTGCATAAATACAGGGCGGGCCAAATGCAGTGTTACAGTTATTTATATTTGTCTGTGTTAACTGTAACCCACCCTGTGTATCTCTCCTATAATAAGTCAAGCATAAGTGATCAAAGCCTCCATTGTGATAAGTAGATATAATGAGAAATTAAGACCCAGACACTTGTGTAAACATACCAAAATACATAACCTAGCTTTACTTGCTGTTTTAGATATATACATTTCAGAATAGAACGATGACAAAGTAAGGATTGATATATGGCTTTTGCCTTTATATCCAAACAGTTAATCAGTAATTTGGTAACTATTGATAATAGCCATGTGCATAAAACTTGTTGTTGGGTCAAGCAGGCTTTTGATATTGAAATTATGAAATAGCTTCACTGTTTCCATTCGTCAATTCATTCGTCAAATCAATCATTCCCAATTTTGTTTCACGTAGGTTTATATTTTAATGTAAACATGTATATATTCCATATTTAATGAACTCAGGAAGCAGTAAATTCGCTATTTTAATGCCATTAGCGCAAATTTTTCAGCTTAAGCACGAGGAGCCAAATCCTAAGAATTTCAATTGGCTTTTCTGCCTATGTAGTATCAAGTATCAAGCAAATAGATTAATATTGTAATATTTTTTGGCTAATTTAACAAAACAAAAAAAAATACATTCAATCTCACAATGCCATGAGCTATGCTATGAGTGTAATTATTGAAAGTGACCACTTCTAAATACTTGAATTTTGACTATGGATGGTTAGACCATCTTCATATATGCATACATTAAATCTTTATTAAAAGATCAAAGAGATAACTGAATACCACATCTGAATATTTATCTATTACAGTACTGCCATCTGTCCAACAAAGGAATAAAATTAAAATTAACATAAAAAATCACACCGTCCTAAAAATTGGTTTAACAAAAGGACACTAGAAATAGCCAAAATGTCATTTATGGACTTCAATCAAGTCTAAAACTATGAACTTTATATCATGGATCAGCAATAATTACCAGTGAATTTTAGTCATTTACGCTGTCATTTGTGTGAATGAAATGTGCTTTGTGTACTTGATAGAACAACCAGAGTTCCCCTCACACTGACAATTAATAATTAACTAGATCAGGGGTGTGCAACCTTTTTCGCAGGCAAGCCAATTATCAATAACCGGGTAAAACCGTGGGTCGCACCTTCATTTAACACAAGCTTTCTATTAGTTGCAGGCACAGAATGGTGTCTTTTTGATATTGATCTCAGGTCATCATTAGGGGTCCTTGCAGAAATGAAGAGTTTAAATGCATAAATTTCTTTAAACTGTGATTAAAATATCTTTTCACACCCAATTTAAACGAATTCAGTGGGAAGTTTGCTGCTGGATTAGATTTTGGCCCGCGGGCCGCACCCCTGCCCTGAACTGGATATTCAGTATGATAGCCATTTAAGGCTGTAAGCATAATGCATCACTTTGGATTTATTTATTAGCCCTTTTACTATATTGCTTCGTTGGAAATCATAAAAAAAACTGAGAACAACAACACCAATTTGAATCACTATTGGCAATGTGACTGCACTGAATAATAAGACACAATTAACATATATTGATTGTGCAATTATAATATGCTGAATGAAAGCCCAAATGTACCGGTAATACTTCTAAATAGATAAAATATGTATCCTGTAATCCACTAATAACAGGAAGCAAAACTTGGATGGAATATCAATTAAAAGATCATGTCATGTGAAATATTTTGACTTTTTTATCTACCATATCAGCAAATCTCGGCCTATTACAATTTTATAAAATTTTATATGCCCTGAAATACAAAGTAAATCTCAACTGATGAAAACAGTCAGGTACCATCTTATTCAAGGTAATTAAAATTACAAGTAAATAAAAACCTTTTGTAAACTGCTTGGATTCAATTGTTTCTTGTCTATAATCTTGATTGCCACCTGCAAATAAAATAAATGTTAAAATTTCAACATCAAAATGAAATTGTGTTAAGTTATGTCTAAAGATAAAAACTAAATTTTATGATCAATAAAGCAATCCCCTACAATATTACTATGAACATATGAATGATATTCAGGAGGTGTTTATTGACAACTAATGTACAGCCATAGTTCTATATGGTTTCAGACTTTTACTAGCTCTAGGCATTTCAGCTGTGCATGTAGCTCCGCAGAGATGAATCTCTTTTACTTCTGCTCTTATGAAAAAAAGCTTCATATGCCAGTATTTATATCATAATATCTTTGGGGATTCGACCTATTTCGATCAGAAGTATAATGTAGCCTACATCATAAAAATAAGCTATCACAGTCAAATTAATGAACTGAACTCTTTCGTACGAGAAGCATATGTCATAACGAGAAATCATTGAAATAAAAAGACACAAAATACAAAAAATTTAAATTTGATCCAATTATAGGTAATAAAATTTGGATTGTGGTTGAAAAAAATTCAAACAGCACCAAACAAATGAGCAAGAACAAGATGTATCCAAAAGAATATTGAATCAACAATGAATCTACACAGAAGATCAGTGGACAAACAAAACAACTGAATTTCTATTGACTTTTTTATTAAACGACAATGAATAATCTATTAAAAGTCAGGCCAGAAAAGCTAACAATTTGGTGAACTCTTATACTTGAATTTATCAGTTTTAGTCTACCACAATAGGCTATTCACTCCCTTTTTTTTTTTGAAGATACTAATTAAAACATGGCACCAAAAATGCAGCATAACTAATTCTCATTCTGAGAGAGGAATAATAAGTCATAAGATGGACGATTGAACATTCAAAAACTTAACCACAGCTATAATGTCTATGTCCCATGACTTACTTCTCTTCCTGTTAGAACATGTCGAGCTAACTTCACTTTTGCAAAATTTCCTTTTCCTATCGTTTTTAAAACACGGTATTTTCCAATATGTGGTTGTTCATCTGGACAAGCAACACGACTGCTTTGCCGTTGAATCCCACTGCTGTGATTATGATTGTGTGTCGAATTTACACTATTTCCAGGTCCATCTCCGCCACCCTGAATATAAATCTAACATTGAACAATGGAAAACAGGTGGATTTAAAAGATGTAGCCTATTTAAAAAAAATTATGAGAAAATAACCAAACAAGGTCTATGATACAAATAGCAAGTCCATGCATCTAAAAACAAATAACTGGCTAACTAATCCCATACCGACATTGACTGGCAATAGGACGAGAGGCCGTGGTTCGCCATATGTTTAAGATTCGATAAGCTTTTCATTTTACAATACTATAATTTTGTTTAATCATGTGTTCTTGAAATAAATCTGAAATAATAACAGCCCATATTATTAAAAAAAACAGATATACAAAAGCAGCCAGCAAACAACAAAAGATACATTTGGATACATTTCTAAAACAGCAATTTACATATATACATGATAAAAATATATCACCCCTCTATCCATTCCTTCTTTAACTGTGGGCAAACCCATCCTTGCTGTCATGCCACGCAACACCAGACTTGATTCGTAAATTCAAGATTGTGATTGGAGACGAGACCCCTAACTATCACACTATAGATTGAAACATGATTATAAACAACTGTAAATTTTAAAAATAATATTGTCAATTAGGAATCAGTAATAGATTGTGACCTAATTATTGCGAAATAAGGAAGAGAAAAGGGTTGCTGAGCAGTTATATAATCTGTTCGATCCATATTGACATACATGGCAATGAAACAGGAATATAGCCAGGGATGTCCAAAACCAAATATTTCACTATTTCGAATACATTCTGAAAAATTATTTCTAAATATGGAATATCGGGTACATTCTAAATTGGGGGCAAGTTCATGTGGAAAATCACGGTACATGGATCACTATATCTTCATGTTGATCACATCTAAATTGACATAATATAAGGACATTGTTTTCTCTGTGTGTTGTTTGTTATCAGTTGAGATATAGTATGTTTTTATCTGCTTGTCTGACAGCTCGAAATCTCTAATTTTCAAATAAAAATATTCTAAATTATTCTTAAATTCAAAAATTCTATAATAACATATATGTTTACTCTTTGACAAGTTTTTAAATTTTTATTCTGTTTTATGATCAAGAGCAATTATTTAGTTTTGAGTTGTTTTTTTTACAATGTAACACCTCCAATACCACATGTTTACTTTGTGTTTTCACACCTACATCTGTTGTCATATAAACCCTTCATGCTGATAATTAAATTTGGCTGGTCCACATTAGAATTTTTGTTGTGTTAGTAAATTCGGGCAATCTACTCTTTGTGTCATCAATTTTCTAGATTTTCCAAATATAATTCAATTCCAGGGATAGCGATAACTAAATACAGGACTATTCCAAATACATTCTTAACAACATACCCACTTTTCTATTCAGCTAATTTTTGTTATAAATTCTGCCTGTTTTTCATAGGCGTGAGAGTCAATAAGTTGATCGACATTGTTAAGCTAAATTCCGCTATTTCCCCTATCTCACAAGCATCGCTCTACACAAGTATTATATTCTGTGTTACCATGTACACTCCGATCAATTTTTTGTTCGCTCACGAAATTGTACACTCATTCAAAATATCGCAAATGTTATTATGCAATCATCATCAACCAAATATTAGAAGGAGTGAATCCACTTCCAAATTTTCACATGCAATGAAAGGAATATTGAAGCCAAAAATCAAGTTCTAGTTAGTTCTTTAGGTCGGCGCTGATTTAAATCTTTCTTGACGGATGAGATGCTTCCATCTTTGCTCATAAACTAGCCCCGCGAACCCAAAATCGAACAATATTACCATCTTTAACACTGTGATACAATAAAATTAGTGATAGATATTAAATAATATTTAAGAGCTATTCTAGACACTGTGAATTGCAAGAAATTCAAAAATTTCTCCGTATGCCAGGTCATGATCGAAACAAAGGACGACTATCAAAGAAACATTCGATGAATTTTCTGCTTCGTGAGACTTTTGGAATCTTTTTTTTTACCAAGTGCTTGATATCAGGACGAACTGAGGATTTGGAAACTCTCAACTGCATACTAAGATTTTAGTCTGTCAGTCTTGACCACGCGCTCGGCTCGGTTATTCGCCAGAATAACGCAGTATTTTCTCAAATTTTTTATGCAACTACTGGGTATCACTGTAAAATCAATTTCCATTGAACTAAAATAAATTGTAGTCTTTAATATTTCATCTATCTCTATTTTATCAATATTCTATCTATTGTATAGCTAATGATGAGATGCAGTCAATCGAATCTTCACATTGCGGACTGTGATGCGCTGTGTGGGTTCATGTTTGAAAATTTAAATCCCATGAGAGAAATGGATATGTGCGAATGGATTACTGGACTCCAAGCTGCCACAGAATGACTCATAAAGCCGCTGGTCAATTAATGCTTCATGTAATATAAATATATGTGCTATATACACAAATGTACAAACTTTCATTCACCAATGGCTTTACAGGTAAAAATACATATATACTTAAATAGTTTCTAAGAATGGATCCATGGAATCGGATTTAGCTTCAAACGCAAAGTTAATAATAATCAATTATCAAAGAAGCATATGTCAATGTGGTCAGACAACAGGCAGGTGGCCTAGTGGTTAAAACGCTAGACTCAACTATGACGACATTGCGGAATAAAATCTTGAGTGTAAATCCCATGACCACCACCACACTCCGGGTGTAATATTTTGAGTAGGCAGGGCCGGATGGGAAGATTCCTGTGGCTGTTCCTACAAACTATAATACATGTAGTCTAGTAGCTCCTTTCATAGCAGTGGCAAACCCTTGTTTGAAGCAAAGACGTATAATTACGAAGTATAAAAAATATCCATACAGCCATAGCCTTATATCGGGTCTAGTGTAATTTCGTACCTCAAGTACTTCTAGTGGGCATACTACAACAATTTTTGCATATGTCAATCCTAACCCCCACCTGACTGTGTCATCCCATGATTTTGTCACTAAGACGTCACTGTAATAAGGCCTTTCAAGCTATACAAACTGTCATCTAAGACGCACAGACGTCACCCGGAATCAAGCAAGCTATTTCTCTCGTTTTCTCGTCGCAACAATCCCGATATACAAGATATAAGAGAGGTCTCTGCCGTTGGTGAATTCATTATCGACGCCGTAGGGTGGTGTAGCCAGTCTGCAGACGATTTCATTCAAACCGCTATAAAACAAAAACCAATATTTCTAACCCGTTTATTTTTTCACCGTAAGTGCATTGGCATTTATTCTACATGCTAAACCTCGAATTAACTTTCTACAACCAGGGGTTAAAGCTATACAAACCACCAAAGTACGACACTCGAAGACGTATTTGCGACCGAACGACCACGGATTTCAAGCCTTGAACATCGTTTCTGATGCGTCAAGACTAGGGCATACACAGCCATGCGTAAAAAAAATTGGGCTTCTAAATTGCATTTCTGACCGTCATATATTTTGAGAACACGATAATTTCGAACAAAACTCGTCGAATTATATACAAAGCACCGCATCACAGCAATCAAACAGACAAAAACATGGTGGTCGCAAATTGGTCAGCAAATACATTATCGACGTATTGGAAATGCGCACCCCCCTTTCCCCCCTCCTTTAAATTTAGAAACATGAAAATTTAAAGTTGTTGAAAGAAACACAACTCCCTTGCCAAGTTTCATCTTTTTCACTTATATTTGTATGGATTTTCAAGTATTTTTAATGGGATAATGGGTAGTTGGCGACATGAATAAATGGTCCGTTTTTTTTCTTCGGTCAGGTTTTCGGTCGTAACTTTTTAGCTTGTGGCCGCATTTTAGTGTAATTTCGCAGAGCTATGAGGGACAAGTGGACGATAAGTGTGAGAAATATCGTCGCGGTTCATTAATTTTTTCGGCATTAATAAGTTGAATCGAATAAGTTGATGGCCGCAAATAGGTCGTGGCCGCAAGGTGGGTAAGCCACCCTAGATGCCATTTCGAGCGATCGTAGGTCAGTAGGTATAGTTTGGCAAGCTCTATGATATGATTGTGAAGTCATAATGACATAATTTTTGGAGAAGTCAGATCAGCAGATGGAGATTAGGATTGACATGTGCAAAAATCGGTATGCTACGCTCACTAGAAGTACGGCAGTACGGTACATGCCCAGTGTCATTTTGATATGAAAATACAGCTGTTCAGCAATTAGTGAATTCTGGAATTACATAGTCACAAACAAATAAAATTAAAAAAAGTCTGTCCGCTTTGATTTTTCATGCCAAGCTAGAAAACTTATATGCTCAATAAAAAAGATTGATTTAAACAAAATTTTGATACCTTGTGACATTGCTTACAGCCAGTCAGTTACGGTATGTTAAGTCACTTTATCACAAATGATATTTCCACTAGGCTACTCTAACAGAAAGTTTCTAACCTCGTCTAACTAAAAAACTCAAGTTCTTACAGACTTAACGATATCCAAACCTTGAACTAAACGAACAAAGGCGTCAATATACGAAAGGCCGGCGAAAACTGACAAGGAACAGAACTGACCGGAAATTCTGAAAGTGCGAACAATGACGTCACTGCGCCATTACCACTGCTCTCTGCTGCAACTAGGGATACAACTTCAAATTTCTCGATAAGCCAACAGACATTTAAAGTGTTTATATACCAATAAAAGGTCAAACCGCGGCCACACTTAATCTATTACCCTGTTTTATAATATAATGAAACAAAGTTACATAGTATATAGCTAACTGGTTTCTTTCGAGGGGAGTAGCCACGTCTGGTATTATGAATGCGCTTGAGACTCCTCAAACCGGCGTCGATACACAAATTTTCAATAAAAAACTAACACCCAATGTGTTTCGGAGTAATGATTGAAAAAGTGAGTTACGTGCTAGAATTTATTCATCTCGCAGCCGCAAATTTTGAATATTATTAGTCCCACATGGCTCAAACTATAGCCACAGTCCTACCCCCAAACTGTAATTCCCCAAGGACGAAATAAAGATTGATAAAGATGGCGTCGAAACACAATTTTTCAATAAAAAACTTAACAATCCCAACGTGTCGGAGTGATGATTGAGAAAGTTAGTTACGTGCTAGAATTTGTTCATCTCGCAGCCGCAAATTTTGAATATTATCAGTCCCAAAGGGCTCAAACTATAGCCACTGTCCTACCCCCAAACTGTAATTTCCAAGGACAAAATAAAGATTGATACAATTAGTGTGAGACAATGAGTCAAACATGCATATATTTATAAATAGTATTACAATAATACAACAGGCGAAGCAATTCATTCATCATTCTGCAGCTACCAAAATTCATTGAAAAGATTGAACCAAATGCAAAAGCAATACATAAAATTGAAGTGTTTGGTAAATGGTTACAAACAATATATTTCACCAAATTCCAATTCATCAAACAAAATTATTTCAAATCATATTAATAAGCACGGGACACCAGCCAGTTTAGGTGGCGAAGAATATTCGAATAAGATAGATATATACGCCAATTGCACAAAATTGTAAATTCATTCAAAAGGGGGTGATTAGTAGAGTAACACTGAATATTCATTATTGGTTTATTATCTCTCATTTTTCAAAGCTTCAATGAATTCTTCCAATTTCTGTTGAATTTCTCGAACTTTTTCTGAACAAAAAAAGCAAAAACTTTGTAATTTATTGTCACCCATGAAGTCATTATCTCAAAAACAAAAGCAGTTATTTAAATGTAAACATGTTGGACCAAATGAGGTTCTAACCTCCAACATGTACTACAGAGAATATTTAATGAGCAGTATTTGGCTTAGTAAACTTCAGTTATTAACAAAGAAATGGCAACTTACTTAATTCCTCTGCTAGAGTTACTCTTCTTCCAGTTAATAATTCAATCTTTTTCAGTCTATTTTGACTAAAATCTTCCAGAACCTGTTTGACTTCCTTTTCAAGTCTGTGTGCTGTCAGCAAAAAAGGCAAAATTTCAATACAAATACGATTAAAGAAATTCAGATTCTTGGTAAAAATCGCAACATTAAAAAACCAACCTTCTGTGTTCATAACTTGTTGACGAAGTGCATTGCTAGTTATCGACAGCATTCTCTGGATTCTCCAGAATAAAACGACATCATAACAATCCATCTTATCATCATCTTCATGCACAATTTGAAGTTTTGAAGAATTCTTAATGAAACAGAGAAAATCATAACTCCCATTTGCACTACACACATAGAGCACAAAAAAACGTTTTGACCCAAAGTCAAACACAGTATAACCGATAGTATCTATATAGATATCCTACATTAAAAAGGTTCATTCATGCAATATAAATACATATGTATCAATAAAACTTCATCTCAATATAGAAGTAAAACAAAATGGCAAAAAGGGGGTAACGAAATTAAGCAATATTGACCATTACAACTGCAGCAGGATATTATTAACCCACCTGATATCTGAAAAACTCTCTTTTACATTGCGAACATCTGGATAATGAATATTTTAGAAAGTTTCTTCTGTATAACTTGTCCCAAGTCTCGGTGATCTGTAGTTAAATTTCATCAAAACTCAGAGGTATAGCAAATCAGAGTAAAAAGAAAACTTAGTAGATAATATAAGAGATTATCTAATTGATAAAATGCTGGAATTCATGATGAATAATACTAAACTATTGCACATTCGCATATTTATGTAAAATAAAGTACAACATATTGAAAGCAACCTGTGGAACATGTTCTGAAATGTAACATACCTCAAAAATAATTGAGATAATATATTTGATCAAGAACTTTTCATTAGTCAAAACGATTCATCAACAGTTATATAATGCTTACCAGTTGGGAATTAACTTCTATTCCTCTCGATTCCAAATTTTTGCGAACTGTTGTAATTTCATCATTAGCAAGGTATGGCGAATGTTTCTGAAGACAATTTTGAAGTCACATAAAAAATTTTACCAGATAATTCATTCAGAATGGTGATGGAATTGAAAAACATTTTTATTGGGCACCAACTGTACACATGGTTTTTTAAATAGTATTGAGGAAATCACTTCTCTCCATGACCACTTAATTACAAATTTTCTGTTCTCAAAAACGGGAAGTCTCTCACAAAGCCATTGATTTCATTTTTTATTCATATTTTCCAAGAGGGATAATGGGTGCGGTATGATATTTCATCCTAAATTTTGCTTTGTTCCGCCCAAATTTCGCTCAATATGACATTCACCTAAACTATATTAATATTTGGCTGAATTACAATGCAGTTATCATATTATACATTTGATATTTGTGGCTATATATTTGAGAAATGCTCTTTTGTTTATTTTAGCTGTTTTATGTTCATAATCCGATGACCACACTTGAGAAAACTTAACTTAACTGAATATGCAAGATCAGTCATGTCAAAATTGGTTGTAATCATGCAATATATTGTTAGTTTAATGGAACATGCAAACATTATCATTGAATGCATTCAAAGATGCTCAACCAGTAGATAGCAAATAGATGATGCAACAATGTAACTCTATATACAATGAATGTTATCATCCTATGAAATCATGTTTATGATATGTTGTGGTTCTTAGCAGAAATAAATGTTTCACAAAAATGTTAAATTCAGAGTATTATGAATGTTCAAATCTATTGACCAATTGTATTAAAAGCTTATAAAATTTGAAATAAAGTTCAGTTGTTTGTATTGAAGCTGAAAAATTGTGAAGCTGAAAAATGTATCATTAAGTGTGACAATAAATTTTGTCTCAGGAGAGAGATTCTGACAGCACTTTCTATTTAATTATGTATAAAACTATACGACTACCAAATGCCCTTGCTTTAAAAATGCACGATAAAATATTGATATGAATTGCGCTATGGTTCTGACATTCTTATTTTCACGTACTATTTACCCACATGAAAAAATATGAGGTACTAACAGTACTTTATTCTAATTTTCTGAATATAACAAAATTATAAGAAATGGCAAGTAAACCAGTACAATAATGAAAAAAACATTTATCAGAACATAAATTCTGAAGTATCTAGTAATTTAGCATGCAATACACTGTAACTAGGAATGTTACAAAACGCGCTTTTCCGCGCCAAAAAATGTACGCACCACGTCTGCTAAGTACCGTTACGCCGTGTCAGAATATTGCTCATAAAAACGATTACAGACTGCCTGCTGTTGTTTGGAATTCCATGAAATTTTGACATAACTTAGATAAAATACACAACTATGCTTCGGTATTTGAATTTTTTCATTAGCGCATAAATTTCCCAACATTCGGGGCTTTTAAAAATTACGCTAAAGGTATACGTACTGCAAATTAATGATATTGTCTATGGACACCAATAAAATATATATGGACGCGTGTATGTCATTCCTAACTTGATACTTACCAATTTTTATGAAGTTTGTTCAATCAGAACATTGTTAATTATTAGCCGCAACGAGGCACTGTCAAACTAATATGCACAACCCCAGGGTTGATTTGCGACAATCTTCCGACGGCGTCAATGACCGTTGCCAGAATAAAAACCCAAAATAATCCCAATATTTCGTAGATGTGACGCACATCGAAAGATTAGTCATTGATATGTGTTCTTATTTCATATTCATTAAAGTTCTTATTAAAAAAAGTCAATTCGCATACGTTTACGAAATGGTAGAAAATAATTCAAGGTACTGGAAGTATGATCTTAGCACGCGTCTGTCAACCCGCATCGGTTATCGATTGAATGCCGACATTTTTCCTCGCAGCGATTTCTCTCGTTTTGCGTTTCACTGAGCGCGGTAAGTATCTTACGAGTTAAAGAATATTAAATGATGATTAATCGTTCATCAATTAAGGTCGGATATGAAAAACGCTGAATCAGTTAATTGCCGCGTAGGCGGGGACCTGCGTCTGTGCGTAGTCGGAGTGTCGTTGCCGACCAGAGGTTCTGTCAAGTTCAGAGACTTTCTCGTACATAATTAATTGGAAAGCAGCTAATTTCGTTGAAAAGAATTTGTAGAACTTTTTTGCATTAGGTTCTTCCATTCATAATAACTTTTCGTTCCTAATTTTTTTCGATTACCTTCAAAAATAGCCGAGATACATTCTGTTGTTTATCGGTCTGACATTCTTGCGGTCACAGTTTTTGAGTCGGCGCAATACAATCCTTACGGAAAAAATTGGCCTATCAGGCGGTACTGAAATGCAGATATCTTCGTTAATTCTTGACCGTTTTTCGCAAACTTGGTATTGTTTTCTTATTTTCACTCAGATCTATCCACTAGTGCAGTTTTTATTTAAATCGGATGAACTTTAATTTTTTTGTAACATACCTACTGTAACTGAATACAGTCAGTCAAAAATGAAACATGCTCAGTTCATTAAATTTAAAACATATTACATGATTCACACCAAATAGATACTTACAGCCAATTGAGCTATTTCCTTCGCCTGCATGAATAAAATCAAACTAATCTGGTACAAGAACTCGAAATGTGAATAAAGAAATTATTATAAGAAATTTTAAATAAGATTTCTAACTTTAATTGACCATATATACCTGTTCTCCATGAAATATTCTTTCTAATTCATTCTTAACTTCATTGCGTTGATGTTGATCCCATGTTCTATAAGACCAATGAGTCCATCTCTGCATCAAACCTGGTCCGACCATATCTTGAATCTCATCCTCAGCTAAAATATATTGCAAATCAGTTAACATCACATTTAGGGTTTTGAAAAAATTACAATTTTGTAATTTGTAACTAAATCTAAAAATGGACGCAAGGCACTTCTCAGAATCAAAATTATACAGGTGCATGTTTGAAACCTGGACTAAAAGATCATAATGACAGGTCAAAAAAGTACCTTTTTGGAAAATGCGACACCAGCTAATTTGGTTTTGCTGCGGCAATATAACACATTCAAGACGATATTCTTTGGTTATCCTACCATCTACAAGAGGCCATATTTTGGTTTTTGAAGTTGTACCTGTTTTAGTTTTGATTTTAGGTAGTGCCTATGTCCATTTTTAGGTTTGGTCGTACAGATATGATTACAAAAATGCAATTTTCTTGAAACCTTCAAATGTGACATAGGCTGACTGAACTTTATTGCAGCGAAATATTTGACATTTTTAACTGTCATCCTGATCCTATCTGTCTGGGATGTTACTCTCAACATGAATTACAAGGTTCACACAATTAGCTTTGAAATTTTCCCAAAATTCATATAAGGATATTACTAAAAGTTGAAAAATTCTGGCCATGTTTCACAATACAAACTTACTATTTTGCAGACGCAATCCCAAATTCTGTTCAATAAATCGTATAGCAGAATCCCATTGTTGACGATCTGATATTGAACGATCTTCTAACGTATTCAGCTGAATTACTTGCTGTGAAATTGAAGAGACCAAACATGTTTATAAAATAAGAGAAAGGGGAAGACAATGATTAGATTGATGAAAAGCCTTAATAAAACAACTACGGTACATGTTGGTGTCATCGAAGTGATAAAGTACCAGTAATAGTTGACGACTATTTATTTCACTTGATGCATCTAATCCATCGACGTATCTGATTACCTAGTTTATAGAGTCTAGGACCTGACCATGTTATGTCAAGGTGATGCAGAACTAAGAAGATTCCATTATTTCTAAAAAATATTATCTTTTTGAAAGAAGTTTATCCTTACGAAGCAGTGGCTATTGTACAGAGGTTTGCTAAAAGCGAAAATGAATGCAAAGTTTTTGACAACAGTAAAGTCAGAAGCAGTGATTTCTGCAAACAATATATTTGTTTCAATTTAAAAACAAATGAGAAGTTGGTCAAAATACAGAGCAACACAAGATGACATTCTTGTGTTTTTGCTGTTGAAATTAAATGAAATTAAATTTGCTGGTAATCACAAAATAGGTAAAGTTCAATCAACCAAGTCATGGTGTGTGATTATATTGCTATTATTGATGACCAGATGTACATAAAGGTTTGTTTAATATTCAGCAAGGTAGTTAATTTTATTTATGGTACTACACTCTCACCACCACTTGAAAACGAAAATAAATACCAAAGTATCCATGTATCCCTCATTCCATTTATGTCTAGCAATGGCTTCATTCTTGACAGCATTTTTCAGTTCATCAAAAATATCATCATGATTTTTTTGTTGTCGTTTATCGTCTTTGGATGTAATATCTGTCTCAAGAACTTTAGAAAACTGAGCCAATAACGCTTCTTTGGCAGTCTGAGAATTACAAACGAAAAAACATTCACAAATATATATTTTGTGATATTTGAAGGGCCATCAAGTATTAGGTTGAAAACCAATAGATTGAGCATATAACTGATAGATACACGATAGCCTATTGATTGCAGCGTTAGACTAACTATTATGGCACCACAGGAAAAAATCTTGGCTTCAAAACTCATGCCCAACATCTAACCCACAGTGGTTATGCTATGTCGAACCTGAAAGATTACGGCCCTTTCAAAATCCTTACATAACAGTGGCCGGTTGTGCAGAGAATGGTTCAGAGCAAAATGCACATAAATAAAAATGTGTGTTGAAAACTAATAGTTTAAGAATATAAGGAAAAATACAACTACCAGTTACTTAAACTCAAAGCGACTCATAGTTTATACCTGGATAGATTGTTTTGGCAGTTGTTTATCAGCCCATTGTTTCAACTTGATATCGACTGTTGTGTTGAAAGTTCTAGAAAAAGTAATAAGAATAATGAATGCGGAGTCATACGTGTTTTCCATACAGAGGTATGGAGTAGGAGAAAATTTACAGCAGCTCAAAACTCTTGAGCCAATAAATCCAATTCCCAATCGACAATAATTTCACTCAGACAATGATCTGTTCCTGACTCTTCGTTTAGGGTAGCATTCATATTTTACCAGGAAGAAAGGAAAGTCTCTATGACGACTTAATCATATGGTGAACCACAGGTCTACAGCTTATCGTCCGTTTACCAGTCATTGCTGGTATGAGATTAGTTAATCTGGTATTTGTTTATGCATGCACTTGCATAGTTTATTACAATTGTAAGTGTGAAATTATGACTCTGATATACACTGAGCCAAACTCTGACTCCACAGTAATTTGATGAACAATTCATTACAATAATCATCACTGAAACATCAATCATAATGAATCATCACACAAAATATGGTAAACTAAAACATCCTCTACATACCCTGCATCATTAGATTGAGCTGCAGGAAGATAAATTTGTTCTATAACATAAGTTGACACTTCATTCCAGAGTTTTCTTACCAATGTCTCTTCCCTGTTTCAATATTAGCAAAAATAAAATCAATATAATTTTGTTAATATTATATTCAACTAATTTGTAAGAATCGTATATAGCACAGATTTCGTAAACATGATCAAGGGCTATATCAAGTCAAGTCGAGTTTTTTTCCAGCCAGTAAAACGAAAAAAAATCAGGAAAAATGATATTCACATTACTGGTGAAGGGAAGCCGCGGGGAACCAAAACTGGTTATCGAGCAGCAACACCTAAGGTTCTAAAATCAAAGATTGGGGAGGAGAGTTTCAAAATACCTGATATTAATGGTAGTTACCATATGAATTTTGCAAATTAGCCAACTAACATAGATTAATATAGATTATTAATAGAAATTACAGTGCATTAAATGAGCCACATTGTAGAATATACATCACAGATTCGAATCCATCGCCTAACTCGAGGTATAATAAATTAAACAGCCGATGCCGAAACAAAAAGACTTCATTCTTCAAAAATAGAAGTTATATGCTTGGGCTTGTAAAAGGCCTTATTCAGAGCAAAAGGTGTGATGAGCACTGTATAAAAATAATCTCATTTATCATAATTTGATATTGAGTATAGAATTTAGATTCCTTTCAGTACATTTTTGAGACCTGAATATGAAAAGTTGCACACTCATTTATTCAAAATAATAGCTCACTCTGCCTTTATATAAGAAGATATTACCTAGTGATATTATCTAATGACCACAAATAGAACCTACATTTATAAATTCTGATATTTCTAATCTGTAACACATGATAGCTCACCATTGCTGTGCAGGAACATTGACGAGGTTGAGTATTTCATCTAAGATTTCATTTTTCGCTTTTTCAAATAATTCATTCTGAAAAGAGATTTATAAATACAGTTATACACAGTAATTCAAACCAGCACAGCCACAATTCAAAATTTCTACTTACTCTGTCAAGTTCTCGAACTCTTGGAAAATTATTCTTCCACTCTGTTTCGAGGTTGAATCTAGTTGCTATAATTAGATAAAAATGGTAAAAAAACGGTCAATAATTAACCAAGTGTCAATATACAAAGTTGTTTAAACTTCATTCATGAGTGTATAGGATTGTTTAATTGTAGCCTAAATGTCCATAAAGCAGAATCCAGTAATGTAAATATGATTTTTTAGCTGCCTATTTAGGACCTTATCAGGAGTGGAAGGCAAATTTCTGGAGATTGCATATAACGATATCAGTTCTCTACTATCTCAAAAAATGAATTAAAACCAACCTTTGTAAGCATCTGCCTGTTGTTCCACAGACTCCCGAACCATTTTCCAAAAACATTGTGATACAGCTTGACTTAAGTTAGCTGTTGTCAATTGATTAGCTTTCAACAATCCAGATCTAAAAAGCAATTAAAAATGAAGAACAAATAACAAGCTTGAAAATGTTCATGTCAATGGCAATAGACTTCAAATTTTAGCCAAAGAAATATAAACAAAATAATTTAGGGAAAAAAACAAAATATCTGTATTGATTGAGTAACAGTAGAAAAAGTACTTGAAAACTTTGGAGTTAGAAAAGAAATGTTCTTCATATTCCCGGATTTCTTCAATCTTACTGTTAGCAGCTCCCTTGCCAGTCACAACAGCAAAATACCCAAGAGCTTTCATTGGGAAAAGTTTCCCATCCAAGATTTGTTGAATCTATATATACAGTAATCTAATCAAGTATAAATGTCCATTAAAACAAGACGAAGTCTAATCGTGGACTTGATCGTGCTAGAATTTTGTTCAATGGCGATATGGATATTATATGATTTATCCAACATAAAAACAAAACCGATATGTGAATTTTAAATTTATACTAATTAGATGTATACTAAAATTGTTTTGATTTTGCAAAGATAGGAATTTGTCATTATTAAATCATGTACGAAAAATTCATTGTCTACAACCAACCTTTAACCATCATCGGCTTTGTAATTTTTGCCAACACTTCCAAGATATATATACAGTATATGAGTTGCTTATCAAGCATGCATGGTTGGAAAAATAAAGCTAATAGTAGGCTACATGCTAACTCTAAAACCCACCCTGCTTGGATTAGCAATATTTTTTTCAGCAAGATCAACTTTTGTCAGCACAAAAATTGTTCTTTTCCCACTTGGATCCATATCACGAACCAAGTCAGTGACAATACTCCGTTCAGCGTCAACCGATCCATCTGATAAAGAAATAAAAAATTATAGGATATGACTAAAAATACGAAAAAGGAAAAAAAAGGTGTATTATTACGAAATAAAAAGAGACGTCCCCCATCCTCTGTTCCGAGCAACAAAAAATCTCAAAATTACAGAATAATGTGACTGAAAATACAAAAAAGAAAAAAAAATGTGCAAATTATGAAATGAAAAAGGGACATCCCTAATCCTCTGTTCTAGAATTTCATGTCCTTATCATCAATTATCTGCTATCGATCTCAGCCATATTCTTATCATCAAAAATTTCTATGCCAAAAGTCAAATTATGTTTAGTAGAATTCTCTTTTTCCATATTTGTTATCATGACCTAGTTGACTAGATTTGTTTCCAGTCTCATGTCAAGTGCTATCCACTGCCATCCCTATTTCAAGCATTCATCTCCATCGTTAAAATTAATCATTAGTGCATGTGTAACTATTTCTATTAGTAAACTTTCCACTTTTGAATGAAAGTTCACATTTCACAACCTTGCTTATTAAAAAATTTTGAAAAAATATTTTCTACTCACCTTGGATACATAGAATGATGGCATTTGGATTGCTCATATAATGTTTGCTCATTTTAAATATTTCATCTTTTGTGTTTGATGCCATTCCACTTGTAACAGTCTGAAATAATAGTCATTCTCTGTATCAGTAAATTATAACCCATTAAAATTAAAACTCATATCAAAATAAATACAAGCTTCAACTTACGCTGATTACACCAGGCAAATCCACTAACACCATTCTCTGTAATCCTGGTCCTTTCACACTGAGTGATATTGTCTACAACAGAAGTGAAAATAAAAACATCCTTAATTCGATAATTATAATATGTTAGATCAGATAGTTATAATAGAATATTCAAAAGCAATATGACATGATAAATATTATGGAGAAACTAATTCAAGTGTTGAACCCAGATTTAATACAATGAAACAAAGTTTGGGTTTAAATGCCATACCTGAGAAAATATATTTAATTTGAAATATTACAAATGAGAATCATCTAGAACAGGGTTTCCAAAAGTTTTTTAGGCTGCGAAACCCTATTCATTAATCTTAGTTTTGACAGACCTCCATCCTATGCCATATCAATTTCTGTGAATAACTAATGAGAAAGGTTGATGTTTCATTACCACATACATTAATGTGATGAATGGGGTTGCTTTTCACTGCACAATTTATCAATTTTTGGAGCAACTCGTAGGTCCAACTCTACAACAAGTGACAACCTGAATTTTTCCATCATATTGGTGAGAGCTGAAAATGCTGCTTCACACATGTAGGTCGTTTCAAGAGGTAATAAAATTTTATTTGCATTTTCTGACAGCAACGGATATTTGATTGAAACCAATCATTATAGATTGATCAGATTATTTTCATATTGTTGTGGACCCCCTGTGCAGTCATCGCGGACCCCAGATTGGGAAACCCTGATCTATAAGAACCGACCCCAATAAGGCTAAAATTGTTTTATGCTTCAAAGCCCTTCAAAAACCTCACCTCATTACTAACAGTTTTTCCTTGTGAACAATTTGTCCTCATTCTCAATTCAATCTCATGTCGAAGTGCAGCTAACTTCAAAAAGAAAAATGAAATCAAACATTTTGAATATATAATCTGAATGTAGATCAACCGATAAGATAGGATTTACATATTTATTCAGATGAAAGAAAAACCGATAAGACAGCTTAGTTTAATCATACGACCAGCGGTTATGTGAAACCACCCTACAGTGGCGAGGAGTCTAGCAATCCTCTCGCACATACCTATTGTCGCATGGGATTTGAATCCATGCAGGGTAATCAGAGGTACGGTGGCAAGCGTATTCCTAACGTATAGCACAGTGTGCCACACCTTTAGAGTCGATAGAATGGATCAAGTAATAGTGTTGATTAAAATAACCCGTCCTTGCAATTTGTTTACTGTCAGTGCACACTTGAGACAAAGACATAATTTTGAGTTTTGTGAGATACACACAAGACTAAATATAGCTATTTTCCTGATCATAATATGCCAGTGGTTCTATTCGTAGAAATTCCATTATTTGGAATTCACTACCGTAGCCATTTTCTTTAAGTTAATTCTCTTAGGAAAACAATCATCGGAAAAGTCTATGAGATTGATATGAGTCTCGCAAACTAAAGACACTCTCAATTACCTCTGAAGGTTTTGTGAGATCAAACTCACGAGTGCTATCACGAAACTGCGCAACGTGTGTCGGACCTTCACTCAATGTTACTTTGACAGGCGATCTTGTCATCATTTCTCCTGATCCTCGAGGAAATATTCTTGCTTGCGCAATCATTTCAAGAACACTTGTTTTTCCAGCACTCTGGTCACCCACTACTACAACCTACAAAAACAACATATTTATGAAGAAAATTACTTCTTGTTGCAGGTCACAATTTGAATAGGTTGTGTAACATTAATTAATAATTGGAGGTTTAGATCAGCACTCGTCTGCTTTTTATCAGCCGGCTTCCCATAATAAGATACAGAAATCTTACAACCATTTTCTGTAGATATTCCTAGATTGACTAGAGATAAGATGCTAATAATAGTAGATTAACTTATTTACTTGTTAAATTACACTGATCCAAATATAAAGCAGCAATCATTATTTCAACTTCTTATTGAGCGATCTGCAAAAACATTTGTATTGGGAGCCAAACTCTAGTCTAGATCAATTCCAGAGAGTTTGAAAATTTGTCTGCTGCTCCAATTGCAGAAAGCTCATGCTTAATTAAAGAAAAGACTTGTTCAAGAAATTCAATAGAAAGCTTTAATAACTTGACTATTACATTTACATATTTTATCGACATGGAATTTCTTGAAAAACTTCTACAAATTACGAATACAAAGACTAATAAATCGAACATACCCTCGGCAGATGATCTTGTGTATTGTAACTTGTATCATAATCAGCTAATTCATCAAGAACTTCGGAGTACATATCAATAAGTGATTTCTGTCAAAATACAAATAAAAATTAGACAAATACTCAATGACAGTATTTTATTTTGCTTCATTACATTGAGTTTTGTTATCAATATGCCAGTATGAGTATGAGGTATGACTATATGTAAATTCACAAAATCAATTGATGGAACACTATGGCATCCTCAAAATTAGATTTTACAAGGTGGTTAGTATAATGATTGACTTATAATGACAGAAGTGTAGATTGAAAAAATATCCAAGCTTAGAAGTTTGCACAACGACGAGGGTAATCATGAGTGTCACACTTCACTTTACAGTAGATATCATACCTTAACTTTCCGTCTGTAAATTTGTTTGTCATCTTTGGCCATCAATAATTTTCTGAGTTCTTTATTCTCTTTTTCCAGTTTTTCAACAAGTTTTTGATACTTCAGCTAGGAACAAATCAAGACATATTGGACAAAGCTCGTTAGAGATTATTAAAATATATAGTATACCTGGTAATTGGGAACCATACATTTTATAAATGGGAGCTAAAATTGGTGTATAAAAAGTAAAAGATATACAATTGTGAATATTATTTCATTTGTAGAATTGACAATCATGAATCTAAGCATAACAGGATATAATTGCCAACATCAGTTACATCACAATTTGATTGTGATATAAAACATGTCATTTCAATTTTACTAGAATAAATCTATCTACCTAGTAAATTAGAATTTACCTCAGTTTCAACCAGCTCGCTTTGAAGATTCTTAACTTTCTCTTTTTCCGATGTCTAAACATATAAATGAATTCAAACACTTATCTCACACATTTCAAATATTACAATTTTACCTTTAAATAATTGGCAACTATTAGGAATAAAAGGTATCCAATAAGTATCTAAAACAACAAGATTGAAAACCTCCAATGCAAGCCATAATGAAAATACAATATAATGAGAATTTTGATACAATTAAATTAGATGACATTTTGAACAAACAAAAGCATTGAATTATCCAAGGTCGACCATTCTGCTTGGTGAAATTAAGAAATAATTAGGCTATAACCTGTTTTTGAGTTGTCATTCCTCCAGGCAGCAAATTTTTCATGGTAGCAGTTTCACTCAAACTTTTATCTAAATATGGAAATAAATAAAAGAAAAATTAGGTGGAATTTATGAACATAATCAAGATGTCATATGTTTTTGTCGAGATTACAACTGAATAATTGATGCCAACATAGAGGGTAATGGGTAATTGCACACTGAACTGCAAGTCCTTTCTCCTTGTTTACTTCCTACTTCAGATGTGTGTCAGTTGTTATAAGGATGCTTGAACAAGACAGTATTATGGGGATAGAGGCTGTGGTTCGCTAAATGAAAAAACTGTTCTAATGTTTTTCCTCTAACGGAGATAAATATGAAAATCCTACCTCCTACCAGGATAATCCCATAAAGATAAAAACAACCACCCAACTATATTATATTTTACCTGTGTCTTTTCTCTCTGGCAAATGTGCAAGTAATGTTTTATAATCTGGTAATTGAAAATTTAATCCTTCCCCATATTTTCTAGCATCCCCAATGACATGGTTCATCATATCTCGGCTGTTAGTCATAAATTCATTTAACCATTTCATCTCTGGTACATTGATCTTGTGTTCTTCTAACCAATTGCTGATGTGCTGTACAAAAAAATAGAAATCTCAAAGTAATTTAACTTAGTACAAATCTACACAACACATTTTTATATATGACATATTTATACGCTTTTCGATCTGAACAAGGCTCTACACAAAAAAGCCACCACTAGGTAAAGAGTTATTATAGTCTTGAAGAATTGGAATTTTACCAATTCAACATTGCCTACTTATTTTAATGCACCCAGGGTGAATTGGCGAGTATGGAATCTGAATCAGAGATTTCAACCTGCAATGCCATTATAAGTAAGCCCAATGCATTAACCACTGAGGCACTACTTACCTGCAAAACAACTTACATTTTTAGCTACAATAGATCCAGTGACAGCTGAGCCAACAATCCAGTATCGAAGTTTAAGTCCATGCCGTGCAACTGCAGTAATTACTTGACCCCAGAATAACCTTTTTACAACATGATTATATAATTGTTGATTATCTTTTGTGAAAGACAAGAGTACTCTGTCCTTTTTAATTACATTCGAAGAATTTCTCATCTGATGCATAAGTCTGGCAGAAGGTCCATTTCTATACATACGAACTTTTGCACAATTTTTACAAACGGTGATGTTTTTTCTGACACCATTCCCATATATTCCTTGAGTAAGATGTTTGCAGAGGCGAGGCAATGACATGATGATCAGAAAACTTCAAATTTAACTACCAAAACATCAGGTACCGTAATCCTTCACTGTTTGCAGTAGACTATATAAGTCTATATGTCAGGCAGTTAACTGAGATCTATTATCGGTACTTCATTTAGTACTGTTGTACATAATTAAGTATGAACACATGTCTGCAAACAATTGAACTACAGTGCTACAATAAGAAACATGAGTCTGCAAACCTCCCTGCTTTTTACTTGTGTGTGTGTGTGCCATGCGTGCGTGCCTTAATTCTGTAATTAGTTTTTTTTTTTACTTTTGGGTGAGCGAACACGTACTACTTCTTTTATCAATACCTTTCCATCTAAAATCTGTACGTTTCAAACCTTACTCTAGGTTTTGTTCGCTTTCCCGATTCTATAATCAGTTACTTTTACTTTTATCTATTTTTTTATCGTCTATTGCTGATTATGGAGTCGAAATAAACTTATACTTCCCTAGCAAGTAGCAACACAAGATTTTTCTAAGAAATTTTTAAATATAGTATTAGGCTACGTCTATAATCGAAGAAAAAAATCGCTTTACAATTATTATTGCATTTTTAAATGAGCTAGGTGTGCAACACAAGATTTTTTTAATAAATTTTTAAATATAGTTATACCGGTACATCTAATATCTATAATCAAAGAAAAAATGGCTTTACAATTATTATTGCGTTTTCAAACGAGCTAGATGTGCCTGAGATGTTACAAAATATATGAACTAACTTGATCATTCACCGTTTCATTTCATTGCAAAGATTTTTGCAGTCATAGGTTATTTTGTTTTGTCCATGATTTGACAAAACTCGTTACGGTACCGTACTTGAGACAAGAACAAGAAGGAACTGCATTCCCTTACCTTACAAATGCTCGTTGATTTTGACACGTCATGGGCAATCTCACTTTATGGCATTTGATTGATAATATCTGAATTTCACTTACTACATTTTAACCAAATGTGATGTGACAACAATGTGATTTTATTGATGAAAATTCCCCAGTCTGCCAGTAAATAAATTCACTTCTAATATTTTATGGCTATAGTCGCTGTCCTACTCTTATCCGACCTTTGACCTGGTTTCGCGAATTACCCGCAGAGATATATTTTCAGTTCAGTGGAATTACCTGTATCATTTTTCAAAGACATTAGTCTTAGTCTAAAAGGCGTTAGTCTAGTAAAGATGTTAGTTAATTTTAGCCTAGTCTATTGCAGTACCGGTACCGTATTTCCAAAACTAATTTTTAATTATTGCAACTTAACTGAAGCTTATCGGAAGACATAATGACTACCGTAATTTTCGGAAATGCATCTGAAAACTGACAAATAACACGTAACACCGCTGAAACACGGCAATGCTTGCAACCATGCTTAAATATCTGTCTGAGCAACTGCAAAATTTGCAATTGTTACGTTTTTACGTGATTTTGCTGATTGAATATGTTACGGAAATAAACAAAGAAATCGATCTTCAGGGAAACATCCAGTGCAGTGGCGCAGCCAGTTCTTGGTCGAATCCCCCCTCTTGTGAAATATTGAAAAACTGGAACGGTCGCCAATAACGCGTGCGATTGCATTTTGCTAAAATCGCCAATAGTTTTCGTCGAAGTGACGTGTTATTAAGGTTGTAAACACCACTACGTTGGCGTTTATTCTCCTTAAATCACAAATTTGTGCCACGAGAACTTTGATAATTACTTTATTCTTGTACTCGCACAGAATTGTGAATCCGGTGAGAGTTATTATACATTTATCGACGGAGAGATGCTGAAGACAAATGAGGAGCGGATCCGCGACACAAATTTTTGATTGAAAAGTGTAAACAATATAATTTATGTTGTAAGAGGCCCGCTTCTAAAAACGCTTCTCTAGGCATTGTAATAGCAAAATTTCGCGTGCATACTGCTCACATTATGTTTGGTCTGCGCTGGGACGTCACTAAAATCGAAACACAGTCAGTTGTGCGCGGGATTTACCTTTTTATTTATCACTTTAAAGTTTAAATTGCTGTCGAAAATTTTTGTGTTGACATGATACAAGTTTGAAAACCTACTGTCTCCCGGGTTGTGATGATACATAAGATTAATTAATTAAGTAGCCTATATATATATATATATATATATATATATTCAATCAATTTTTATTGTACCAGAATGAATTTTTTACTTCGTGAAATTTCATAGTAGACTTAATGATTTTTATGATGGTTTTATCTCAAAAATAATCTTGAGTGGCAGCATTGCGAGTCAGTGTTGTAGGAACATCTCAGATTTGTCGAATTTACAAAATGGCAAAATACGGGTCAAAACAAGATATAATCGGGCAGTTTATCGTACATTTTTATGATCGCGGAATGCCGTGGTATTTTAGAGTGATGATGCTTTTATTTTGTCGACGCAACCGCAGGAATTGAAGACAATTAAATTGATAAAGCAAGACATTTTAAATATACCCGTATCGGTCATGGATTAAATTATTTTCCACAACAGAAAAATCATTATCCGTTGAAAAAGCTCTTTTAACAAGTGGCGTAATCTCGTGGCCGTTTCGCGGGGATTTCGAGGCGATGAATATGTATTTCTGATTTACTGATATACTTTTATGTATTTTTATAGTACTACGTTAAATAGTACTCTATGTGATTTTACATCAGATCTCGAGATTTTCCTAACGGCGATAACGAATTCGCAAGATCGCAAAATACGTATCAAAACTAAATCCAGTCAGGGAGTTTCTCTCATATTTTCATTTCCACAGATTGCTGTGTATTTTACAATAGTAATGTTTTTATTTTGACGTAAGAAGACGCATTTAAAATCAGTATAGGAGGACATATTAGATTCTCATAGTTGTCATGGTTCGGATATTTTACGCATAATGAAAGTGATTATACGCTGGCAAAGTCGGCTCTAAACGAGCGCCGTTTCACAAGGGAATGAGAATATCCGATTTTTAACACCCCCTTTTTGAAAATCCTGGCTGCGTGCCTAATCAAGTGTATTCCTGTTTGTTTTGTAGCGAATGTAGAATGTAACCACGGACTTTAATGTTATTTTACTATCTCTATTAATAGTATGTGAATTCAAGGTCAGTGCCTGGTATTGATTTATCGCGACAAGCCTTAGCAATATTCTTGTATCGGGCGTTCTTTGTATCCAGCAATTTGACCTGTGTTTCCGGCTTTCGTCCAGAGTGCAGATCGGGGTCACACTCTAATAACGTGTGTTCAATTCAATAACACGGGAGTGCGAACGGGCAGAAGATGTATAGTTGTAGCGATGACGAAAATAGGCAACATGCTCCCACATTATTGACTTGTCTAAATTCTGCTACTGGTAGCGAAGAAACTATCTCTTACACTAAAATAAACCGACCAGGCAACGACAATGAAAAAAAGGAAGAATCTCACAATTCCGCTTTTATTAAATTCGAGTTAAGTATACCTGAATCACCAAAAATAAAGTGTTCAAAAGCATAGAGGATAAAATTGGTAAAGATTCAATAATTGAACTGTTCAGTATAAGAAAAGAAAAAAAAGGCTAGTGGAATTGAAAAAGCAACACCTGGTCCAAAAACTTATTAAAGAAGGTATTACCTATAATTTTGATAGTGACATGAAGCTAAAATAACAGACATAGACGATTTTAGTGTGGAAGTGTGGGTATCACCAGTACCGAATAGAGTCGCTGATCACTATACTGGTATGAATTCGGAGAAATTATTTCAGTTTCCCAAGAAAAAGATTATTCTAATTCATTGACTAGAAGACGAATGTTTAAAATGAATTTGGAATATGAAATTCCTAGTATTTTAAAATTACCATACATACATCGCAGTTATATATGAGTATTCAGTGTCTGGTACAAAGACCGAAAAACACCTGAACAAGATGATGCCATAAATTTATCCAAGTGTCATAGTTTTAAACAAATTGTACACCAAGCTACAGAATACGGAAGAAAAAAACATGCAGCATTTGCAGAGATCCCAGAGCAATGCCTCACCCTGAGAAAGACTGCAAACGAAAAAGCCGGAAGTTAGATGAAAAAAAAAGTTTTGAAGACATTTTTGGCTGCTGAGAGTATGCTGGAAATACGTAATAGCACGAAAAGAAAGTACGAAACACAATATGACCATAGTTGCAGATGTACATAACGATATAGCCCAGAAAATGTATCGGAAGAAAATAGTACCATATAATATGTATCAGAATTCCTTTGTATCTATACCACCAGCACAGAAAAATAATAAGAGAGGCCACAATAGAGGGTCATACAGAAACAAACCCATCACTTGACAACAATATCTGTTGAAAACCAAATTTTATTGTTGAATAATGAAAAAACATGGAAACGAGAATATCGGTCGGAGACCGAAGACTTATCGATCGGAGGTTGGGGGATCCCCCAAAACAGCGCTCTTACTACATAGTGACACCGTGTGTCCCATCACTAATTAATCAATAACTCGCTAATTATACGACATAGTTCATCGAAAATCAATAGGCTTCTGATCCGAGCTAAGATGAATGCACGTGAATTTGGAGCAGATTCAACCTCGCTTTCGTGAGATATCGCGTGCATCTAACAGACAGACAAACAAACAGACAAATACCTATCAACATACTTACCGATCTTAAGATCGATAAGTAACAAATAGATTAATGAAAAAAGTTGAATCTGAGACTAATAAAAATCTTTACTGATTCACAAGGTAAAGAAATAAGAAATACAGTAAAAAGTAGTGTTGAAGAAGTACCCGGGGCGACCATCAGGAAATTGTACAACATTTTAGCAATCACGAAATCGAAAGTGACAAAATAATTCTATATGATATAGATACAAATCAAACCATGGTAGACAAAAGATGCAGATAAGCTCATAAAAGCTGTATACGAAAACGCCAAAAAAGCTATAGTCAAGGAAACGTACCACGTTACGATTTTTTTTCGAAAATGAGGAACAGAGACTGGCAATTAATCAGAAACTCGAAATAGCAGCTAATAATAATGGAGCTCTATACATAAATCCTACGAAAACTTTTTTAATACAATTGAAAATGCACCGCACGAACTCATGTACCAATTTGATAAAATAAATTTGAGTCAAATAGGGGGTTGGGATTAGTGGAAGAAACATGGAAATATCAACATTGCCAGTCGTAAAAGTGGAAAGCGAAAAGATAGAGAAGACCCTAATCCAATAACAGATGAAGGAAAAAGAAAAAAAAACAGAGACTATCAGTAAACTTCGCAAAGAAATGAAAGAATTTTAACTCAATAATATTAGAGAAGGGATGCTTCGTGCTAAATAAACGGAAAAGGTGGAGAAAACAAATTCCTATTTTAAAATCTTTACTCACTCTCTGAAGTGGTAGCAAACGCTTGGCTGTTTTATCAAAATGCTTTTTCTGTTGAATGCGTTTATGAGTAAGATGAGCATGAACTAGCGTCGTTGGAACCATTTTTTGTCCAAGCAAAGATTTTGCTATTGGCAAGTTTGAACCAACAGTTACGAAATAGTTGAGTCCGTTCCACACGAATAGGTCGGTCGCAACATATGGCCATGGTTGATCAGGTACAGGGTGCATTAGTTCCTTTTTCTGATAAGTTTTATGACTGTTGCAGATAGCTCATTGAGAGGTATAATTTTCAATGTCCTTGTTCATCTCTGGCCAATAGGTAATACTCCTTTCCTGGGTGACCTTTGTGAAGTTGATCTTGTTTTAACAAAGTTGGGACAATAACTTTTTTTACTTTAAAAATGATACCATAATTAGAGTGAGTTGATCTCTGAAGCCAAAATATAGTTTGAAATCTCGTGGATTGTTTTTAACATGTTCTGGCCATC